CCGCTCGCCCTGAAAGGCGCTGTCCAGCCCGCAGTGCTGAAGCATGCTGGGCCCGGCAGCCAGAGAACAGAGAATAGTCTCTGCCTACAGCCGCCGATCCCAACCCAGGAGACTCCAGGCCTTGTTCACACTGGCCTAATAATCCACAAGGATGCTTGTCTGCCTCAGCAGGTTTAAAGGAATCGCCTTGGAGGTCCAAGCTTCCCAGACGGGGCCAAGAGAAGGCCAATGTTTTCCAGGGGCCACTCAGCACAGGAAAGTGGACAGTACTCAATTCCTGTGCTCCATTCTGTAATGAGTAGGCATTCATACATTATGGGCATCTCCACTGCCCTCTCCCAACTTGTCCTACGGGTTGTGTGGGGAGACTGGGCCCAGGGGAGGGTCGCCTCACTTTCCAAGAACTTGATTTTTCCCACCTGCATCCAAACCCAATAGGCCCTGTTACCTGAAGAGGATGAGGTGAGACAATCCCTGGAATTCCTCCTGTACACATTCCCTGCAGTGGGGATGCTTCTCCTTCTACTCTGGATGACCCCCAACTTTTGTGAATGCCCACAACCTCTCCCCCCACCCACCCAGTGTTCAGGCAGGCAGGGGAGACCAGGTGTTCCCAGTGAAGGGCTCTGCAACTTAAGAGTCTAGAATCTTGTCCTGGGGGAGTAAATGGCACAGTTGCCTAGCATAATCATGATGGCAGTAATGGTGGGCAGCAAGAAGAAGCTGCATATAGTTCCTGGGCCAGAAACTAGTCCAGAGAAGAGGGCTGATAGGACGCCAGAAGGGGCAGCCAGATGACTGCACCGGAGCTCATGACCAACCCCACATACGCCCTGGCTTGCCCCAGGATCCCATGGCGACCCTCATGGCAGTCCAGGGCCCAGTCATACCTCCTTAGCATCAGCTGGCCTCAGTTCAGGCTAGAAGAGAGATGAGGTACCAGCTGAGGCAAAAGGGTTTTGAGAGAGCACTCCAGAGGAGCTGGGCATGTGGTCAGCACTCATTTGGCAGAAGTAAATGTCACATCCTGCTCTTCAGAGATTTATGAAAGGAACCAGGTCCAGTGCCTACAAATACCCGCCACTCCAGTTTGAGGCTCCCCAGGGTATAGAGAGCATTCTGGCTGGACACAGTTTGCAGAGTCCCAGGGGACCATGTACTACTGTAAGGATGAATTCATACCAGGGGGAAGGGCAGGCAGTGGCCTCAGGATTGTTGAACCATCCAAGAATGAGGATTCTTAAAATTATTGTGCTGCATAGTGAATGTTGCTTGACTCTTAGAACCTGCCCCTCTCCTTATCCAGGGTGCTTGCTGGTGCACCCTGGATGAGTGTCGAAAGATGGGCAGTACTGCTCAGCCCATTGAAGGCACACACCTGTGTGGGATGGAGTGGACAGTCAACTAGGAGATGAGAAGTTCTAATCCCTCCACCCCCCAACACATGGGCTCCATACTGTGGCCTCCATGGCAACAGATAGTAACTAATGTCACCCTAGGCATCATAATGACCCCAAGAGGCAGACAAAGTGGGTATTAGCAAACCATTAGGCAGATGGGAAGACGGAGGGGCAAGAGAAGGCATGGGACAGTCACCAAAGCCCCAGAGAAAGCCTAAAGACCAACTTCTGGTGTTCAGCTCACCGTAACACCCTCCTTCCTGTCCTCTGCTCTCCACTTCATCCATCAAGGAGTTGATGCTAATGGAGGTCCCCCTCAGTCAGATCCTAACAGATCTGGCTACCACAGTAATTAAAAAGCAACCACTCTAGGCTCTCAACAACATAATCCTAGGGGGACAGGAGGAGGGCACATGTGGCCTGAGGGCCATGTGCCACCCCTTGGCTGGCCCCACAGCCAAGGCAAGGACTCAAACAGCATCCAAAGAAGAAATGATGATGATGGGCAGACCGTGAGGAAGGGTGGGGGGCCTGGAGGAAGCACAGATGTTTTCTGGATTTGATTGCCCCCCACACATGCTAGGCCCTCAGGCCTAGTGAACCACAGCTGGAATCTGAAGCTCCTTCCCAGGGCTCCTTCTATGCCATCCCCCTGCCTTCTGCTCACTGGGACCCCCAACCTCCACTGGACCCTCCCCTCTGCATCCTCTGATAGGCAGTGATACCAGGAAGAGTCTGCAGGGACTCTGGGTGCCCCTAGGTGTCTGTTGGGATTAAACCCAACACAAAACAAGGCTCAATCAACAGCAATGGAGAGCAAAGACAGGAAAAGTTCTCTTCTTGCCAGGCCTGAAAAAGCTGTTGCTCCCCTCCCTTCTCCTTCACCTCAACCCTACAAGTCCTCCCTGGGCTACTGAGGGAATCCTAGGAGACTGAACAAAGCAGAAGGCTAGCGGTGGTCACTGGAGTATGACAGGGCCTCCTTGGCAGAGCGAGTGAAGGAACATTTTGCCTTTAAATACTTTGAAATAGCAGCAGACATAAGAAGTACAGAAAGTCCCTACAACACAGATGGCATACATTCTCCTCCAGCCTAGTGGCCCCACCTCCCAAGGTCCCACACACACAAGCCCAAGCTCACACCAGCAGGAGGCTGGGACCAGAGCTTCTGTGGCCTTCCCAAGTGTGTTAACTTGCATTCCCAAGGGCCCCTGAGGCCCCTGCTGAGGTTCCCAGTGTCTGCTGAAGAAGAAAAAACACAGCCCTGACATTCACAACTGATTTGACATTCACTGTTAGACCTCAGCATTGCTACGAACTGGTCTAACATTTACAGCCAAGTCATTTTCTTCTCTTGTTGGATATAAGCAATCAACAATACTAACCTCAGATAAGGTTACTCTGAAACCATGATAAAATGAGACAAAATGAGCCACTTCATAATTTTTAAACACAGACAAAAATAAGGTCACTGAGCTGACACCCACCAAATACCAAACATACCACTCTATTGGCTGCGATGACTGACTGATATATTTTTAGCAACTTTATTTTTTTTAAAGATTTTATTTATTTGTCAGAGAGACAGAGCACAAGCAGGGGGAGTGGCAGGCAGAGGGAGAAGCAGGCTCCCCGCTGAGCAGGGAGACGGGTGCGGGACTCGATCCCAGGACCCCGGGATCATGACCTGAGCCGAAGGCAGACGCTTAACCGACTGAGCCACCCAGGCATCCCTTTTAGCAGCTTTATTGAGATATAACTCACATACTATATAATTCATCCACTTAAAGTGTACAATTCAGGGCACCTGGCTGGGTCAGTTGGTAAAGTATGCAACTCTTGATCTCAGGGTTGTGAGTTTAAGCCCCATGCTGGGCATAGAGCTTACATTAAAAATTAAAAAAAAATCAAGTGTACAGTTCAGTGGCTTTAAATTATATTCACAGAGTTGTGTAACCACCACCGTGGCAAATTTAGAACATTTCCATTACACCAAAAAGAAACCCTGCACCCCTTAGTCATCACCTCCAAATCCTCCCACCCCTAGGCAACCACTAATCTTTCTTTGTCTATAGATTTGCCTAATCTGGACCTCTCATATAAATAGAATCATAGAATACGTGGTCCTTTGTTACTGCCTTTTTTCACTTAGCATCGTGTTTTCAAGTTTTATGCATGCTGTAGCAATGCATCAGTACTTCACTCCTGTGATGGCGAATTTCACATGTCACCTTGACCAGGATACACACACACACACACACACACACACGTATGTACATGTATATGTACATATATACCTTACTGGTTCTGCGACAGTGTTCACCAAGAAGCTTAATCTTCATGCCTTTGCCCCCAATAATTCTACTTCTAAGAATGAACTAATTCCACTCCTAATGAAATAACCAAATTGACTTTATTTAGCAGCACGCTCATAGCAATATTATTTTAAAAACTAAAGAAATCAGAAACAATCCAAATATCCAATAGCAGAGGAATGACTCAATCATGGTACATCCTTCATTAGGCTTGTGTGTGTTCAGAAAAAATCCTGCAGAAACAAACTGAGGGTTGCTGGAATGGTGGGGGTGGGAGGGATGGGGTGGCTTGGTGATAGACATTGGGTAGGGTATGTGCTATGGTGAGCGCTGTGAATTGTGCAAGACTGTTGAATCACAGATCTATACTTCTGAAACAAATAATGCAACATATGTTAAGAAAAAAGAAAAAGAAGAAGATAGCAGGAAGGGAAGAATGAAGGGGAGTAAGTCAGAGGGGGAGATGAACCATGAGAGATGATGGACTCTGAAAAACAAACTGAGGGTTCTAGAGGGGAGGGGCATGGGGGGGATGGGTTAGCCTGGTGATGGGTATTAAAGAGGGCACGTTCTGCGTGGAGCACTGGGTGTTATGCACAAACAATGAATCATGGAACACTACATCAAAAACTAATGATGTAATGTATGGTGATTAACATAACAATAAAAAATTAAAAAAAAAAGAAAAAATCCTGCAGGAAAATACAGCAAAAGCATGGGGGGGGTGAGGTTAAAGGTGGTTTTTGGTTTCATCTACAAATGCCAACATACTGAGTCTTACATAATACCAACAGCATTTTCTCATTTTGACTTAAAAACAAAATGCAGAAAATACAAAAGTACAAGTTATACATCCTCACACAAGGAGATGGAACCCTCATTTGCTGTTGGTGGGAATGTAAAATGGTACAACCACTCTGAAAAGAGTCCCACAGTTTCTTAAAATGTTAAACATACACCATCAGATGAGCCAGCCACTGAAGTAACATAATATTCTTTTCTATGAAGGTTGTGTTATGCTTCCTCATAAAGGTTATATTCTATACTGAGCACAAACAGCAAAAGGTATTTTTTTTATTCTTATTTTTTACCTGAGCTGCGATCAAATCCAATGCTTAACCAACTGAGCCACCCAGGTGCCCCTCAAAAGGTATTTAAAAACAGGGTGCCTGTGTGGCTCAGTTGGTTAAGCGACTGCCTTCTGCTCAGGTCATGATCCTGGAGTCCCGGGATCGAGTCCCCACATCGGGCTCCCCGCTCAGCGGGGGGTCTGCTTCTCCCTCAGACCCTCTTCCCTCTCGTGCTCTCATTCTCTCTCTCAAATAAATAAAATCTTTTTAAAAAATAAATAAAAACAAACAGAGGCGCCTGGGTGGCTCCGTCATTTAAGCGTCTGCTTTCGGCTCAGGTCATGATCCCAGGGTCCTGGGATAGAGCCCCACATCAGGCTCCCTGCTCCGGGGGAAGCCTGCTTCTCCCTCTCCCACTCCCCCTGCTTGTGTTCCCTCTCTCACTGTGTCTCTCTGTGTCAAATAAATAAATAAATAAATACACCTCCAACTGCCCATAAGCCTGGAGAAATGCCTGCACGTTAAGAGGCAGCAGTTGCTGAGACTGGCTAGGGGCCCAGCCCCCTCTCCTCTGGTCTCAGGCTCAGTTCTGGAATGGAAGAGAATGAACTGCCTGTACCTTTGAAATTACTCCTCTTTCTCTTTTATTTTTTGCTTGCCAATCCTCCGTTGAATTTATCCATGATATGACTCTACCACAGGAGAGAACGCCCCACCAGAGCTCCCGGCCCCACTCAGCCCCTGTAGAGAGGCCAGGCAGCCCCAGGAGGAGTGGGATGGAAGTTAGGTCAAGCGCCCCCCTAACTCTGGCAGAAGCCTGCACTTCGGTGCTTTAGCTTTGGTTTATTTGTATCCATACAGCTAGGAATTTTCCAGAGTCCCATTACTTCTTAAAACCTCCCAGCGAAGGGTTCTGGCATCTCCTGTGAATTTGTAATTAATTTCGCTTCCAGAGAATTAACTAGTCCTATTTTTGTTGACAGCTTGTTCTGTCAAATGGCACTGCATTACATAACATGGTTTTTTGGTGTTGCGATTTGTTTTTTCAAATCTTACTACTCTAACGTACATTCCTTCCCAACAGAAGAAAGGTGCGGGGAGGTGGGGTTTGGGGGTGGCAAGTGAATGTTCCAAGGCCGCCATGCTTGTATATCATGGGCAACCGAGAAAGAACAGGAATATGCTTGGAGGCAAACCCTCAGAGTTCTGGAGTGTAGACAGGTGTTCAGGAACCCAGACGCCCCCCAACTCTGCTTTGGGCACAGAAGACCGCTTGCTGTGATTTCTTCTGAAAAACACTGCTACAAAACGGGGGCTGCAGGAGCGGGTACGACTAATGAGTTTTCGCTATGGAGACCACCGAACAAGAAACCACAGGACCTCTGGGCACGGCCAGGGGGCGACGTAAAGGGCAGACTTGACCAGACTTAGAACCAACGGCACTGGGGAAGGAGGGAACCCCCGGCCCCCGCGACAGGACCCCGCACTTGGGCTTCGAGTACCTCCTGCAGACGGCGGTGCTGGGGCCGCTCGACTCCCGGCGTCCTCGGGACCCCCCTCCACCTGCTCTCCCCTCGCCCCGTCTTTTCCGCTTTTCCAAACCAGAGCCAATCCGCGCTCAGCAAGGCCCGGAGGGGAAAACCAATCGATTGTCCTGCTTGGTCTTCGAGACCTAGAAGCAGAGCGTCGTGCACTCGATGGGTGGGAGGTCCTGGGCCCAAAGGAGGGACCCCTGCTAAGTTGGAGGACCTTGCTCTCCTGTTGCCTCCTGGGTCGTTGGGAGGTCAAGATTCCGTGGCGTGGAAAGAAGTTGTTCTCGAACATTTCAGGTCCTAGAAGAACACCATATCTGGTCCCCCCCCCCCCCGGCCTCACAGTGTGGCTTGGGGCAAGTCATCTACTCTGTCTGGGTCTTTTGCTCCACCTGTAAAGCATGAATAGGACAGAACAGTATGGTCCCTCGTTCAGCCTGGCCTCGCAAACCCAAGATCAGCGCAGGTGTCTCTTGGCTGATGTCAGTGGTCTCACCTTGGCCATGGCCATCTGAAGCTCTTCCAGCAGTAACACACGCAGCCAGGTTTTCCCCAGTTCGACACACCATCTCTGGGGAAACTGAGGCATAGAGGGAAAAAAAAAATGGGGCTTGCTCATTGGTAAATCTTGTGCTCCTGTTACGTTGCTGGCCCTGGCATGGTGCTTGGTTTGTCTTGAGGTGACCAGGCAGGCCATGCTCTCCTGAGCACCAAAGTCCCACCGAAAGCATCCGAGAGGCATCTGAAGTCAGGCTGCCCTAGGTTCAAATCCGAGCTTTTCCTTCTGCAACTGTGTGGTCTGCGCGGTGATTTAACTGCTACCGACCCCATCTGCGCGATGGGCGCTGTCATAGCACACGCCTCCCAGACTGTGAGAGGATTCTAGTCAGTGATGCATAAAAGCTGCTTGCATTGTGCCTGGCAGGGTCTCGTAGTCAGGGGGCATCAGTTAGGAGCTTGTCTTAATGATCCTGGTACCGGGACTCTGTTCAGCAGGAGACGGGCCCTTCCCGGGCGAGGTTCCAGCCCTGGAGAAAGAGCTCACACTGTGTCCCCTTGCCCACTCAGGTCCTGGCCGGACTGCTGCACCTTGGCAACATCCGCTTTGCCGACTCTGAGGACGAAGCTCAGCCCTGCCAGCTGATGGGCGATGCCAAGTGTGAGGACAGGGCGGGGGCCTGGGGCTCAGGCTTCGGTCACAGCGCCAGGGAGCAGGGCCCGCCCTGTCCGCAAAAGGGCCAACATGGGTGGGATGGGGGGGGGGAGGCGGGGAGGCCCGGGGTTGGAATGTGGAAGGCGATGCCCTCGGTGAAACCATGATGTTCCTGCTCACCCCCATCTCTGGGGAGGCAGACAGCAGCGGCCCTGTTCTACAGATGAGAAAAAAGAGCATTTATGACGTGATCTGTCCCACGTGAGGCAGTGTGGACTGGTACAGAGAAGGCCTGAGTGCAAGTCCTGCCTCTGACATTTATGGGGGCCTGTGGTAAGTCTCCTTGCCCACCAGGACCTGAGTTTCCTCTGTCCATTTGGCACAGCACAAGGGGACAAGTGTCCCACTGGGTGACATAGTGACTTCAAGAGGCAAAGTGGGTATTAGCAAACCCATGAGGTAGATGGGAAGACAGAGGGGCAAGAGAGGGCATGGGCCAGTCACCAAAGCCCCAGAGAAAGCCCAAGGACCAGCCTGTGGTGTTCAGCGCCCTGTGACACCCTCCTCCCTGTAGCTTGCTCTCCATCTCCGTCATCAAGGAGCAGATTTTGTCCCCTCTGTCAAATCCAAACAGATTTGCCCGTCATGGTAAATAACAACAGGTCGTCAACAACAGAATCCTCCTTGGGAAGACAGGAGGAGGGCTTTTCCGCCCTGAGAACCAACATGCCCCCCTTTGGCCGGCCTGCCAGCCACCGCAAGCACACGCACAACACCCATGAGGAAAGGAGACTGCCAGTCAGCCCCCACGGCCGTGTGGGGGGCTGGGAGGAAGTGCAGGTGCCTTGCACACCTGCTGGGCCCTCCCGGGGTGAGCCCGGAGCTCGGCTTCAGCTTCTCACTGCGGGAGTTGAGCCACAGCTGTGCCAAATCACAAACATGAATCCAAACACCTCCAGCAGGCCTGGCAGAATGAGGGAAACTGAGGGCCCACCAGGAGAGGATTTTCGTGAAGGCCAGGGAAGGAGCTCTCCCACCAAACTGAATGATTGACAGCCTAAGCATCTACATATGACCATCATGAACCAGAAGAAACCCACTACTGGGGCGCCTGAGGACAAGGTTGGGGAACACGATGCAGGGCGGTGAACAGAGCAATAACCTCCGCTCCGTACATACCCAAGGTGGTACCATGGCCTCCCCTGCCCCCTCTGTGAGCCCAGAGCAGGCAGAAGGGCCCGAGGGGGGATAGGGGCAGCCCAGGGCACCAAGGCCCATCCAAAGACAGACACAGGAAACGTGCAAATAGATCATTAGGTGTAAGTGATCTCAGGGGCTGTGGGTGACACACGGTGAGGGCCCCTCGCCCACTGCTGGTGGCATGGTCACTGGGATGTACTAATCACAAGAACCCCTGTGATCTGGCCTGTTCCTACCTTCCAGGTACCTCCCCAGTCTCTACCTTGAGCCAGAACTTGTTTGTGGCTTTCTCCAATATCCCACACTCTCTCCTTTTCCCTGAGCCTTTGAGGCACATGCTGTTCACCTTCTGGAATGCTTTTCTTTTCTTTTCTTTTTTTGAACGCTTTTCAACCACTGCCCCCTCAACTCTATCCTCAGTCCCATCCTCCACATCACTTTCTTAGTTTATTCGGTCTCCTTATAACTTCAGCTTTACCATCGGCTGCCACAGAAGGACCTCTCAAGACACCGAGTTTAGTTAGTGCCCTGTGCATGCCTTGGCATAAGTCACAAGCCCAACCACCATGACCCGTTAGCTTCTGCGCTTTGGGAGGGCAGAGATAGCTCTGTTGCGGCCCCAACACAGCTGCTGGTGCACAGGAGGTGTGGCCATCCAATGGGGCATCCCAGGACACATGAGGATCCTGATCTGGGGACCCCAATCTCAGGGCTGGGAGGGTCCCTGTAGGTGTCTGATCCAGTCAACAAGCCCCTGATTTGTGCTCATCCCCTCCCGAGCTGCTTTCTCTCCCCTCTGAAGGCTTCCTTGGCCCATGTCCTGCAGGTTATGCACAGCACCACACTCCCTACATCCTTGCATCAAGCTCAACAGCCAGGACAAGCACAGACCATACACCAGGAAGAGGTAATTCACATAGGACCTGGTCTCTGCACAGAGACAAGCCTGACCGTGGCCCTGGGTTGATAAGGAGCAGGACCATCAGCTCTGACCAGAGGTGCACTCTCAAGCTAGGGCTGACACTCTGAAGGGCTGTTCTCACCTGTTCTGGGAGGGATGACATGGATGTGGTGCAATCTGTGCACTGCACAAGGGCTTAGCCAATAAAGCAATGTGGGCTTCCACCCAACCTCCCCCAGAAAGAGCCAGCTTTTCCAAGTAATAGAAAGGCCCTCTCTCTTGAACCATTCACAGGCTCTGTTTCTGACTGGGGTGGGTGAGCCCTCCCACATAGACCATGCCAAAGCAAAACAAAACAAAACACCCATACCCATTAGCAGTCACTTCCATTTCCCCGCAACCCTGCCAGCCATAGGCAGTCACTAGTCCACTTTCTGTCTCTCT